CTCTCTTTTTAAATTCTCATAGCAACTTTGATAGTTAGAAAAATTATTGCCATTTGCAGCTGAGGAACTAAGGCTCCAGATACTAAATATTTTCTCCAACCTCAGAGTCAGAAACTGGCTGTTTCTCCCCAACTCCCATAGGCAGTTTGCTTTGTTCATAACACGGTGAGGAATGTAATTGAGAAGGTTAGAAATAGTGGTGGGGCTAGGGGATGACCTTGAAGTATCTTTTAAAGTTTGAATTTTCATGTCTTTTGTCTACATTTTAATGGGGCTATTTGGTTTTTTCCTTTCGGCATATTTGAGTTCCTTGTAGATACTGGATGTTAGGCTTTTGTCAGATACGCAGTTGGCAAATATGTTTTCCCATTCTGTGGGCTGTCTCCCCGCTCTCTTGATGATTTCTTTTGCTTTGCAGCAGCTTTTTAGTTTGATGAGATCCCACTTGTCTATCTTATCTCTTACAGCATGGGCTTTTGGGGCTTTGATCAAGAACTGGTTGCCTATTCTGAATTCCGTAAGAGTGTCTCCTGCATTTTCTAAGGTTCTTAAAGTTTGGAGTTTTACATTTAGTCTTTGATCTATTTGGAGTTGATTTGTTGTGTATGGTGATTGGTAAGTGTCCTGTTTAATTCTTCTGCACATGGTCAGCCAGTTTTCCCAGCCCCATTTACTGAATAAATTCTCCTTTCCCCAATGGTTGTTGTTGGAGGCTTTGTCGAAGATGAGTTGGTTGAGAAATTGAGATTTTGCTTCCAGAATCTCTATCCTGTTCCGTTGGTCTATATGCCTGTCCTTGTACCAATACCAGGTTGTTTTGATTATTGTAGCCTTATAATAAAGTTTAAAATCTAGAAGTGTGGTATCTCCTGCCTTGTTTCTTTTGCCAAAGATTGTTTTTACTATTCGTGGTCATTTATGTTTCCATTGAATTTCTGTATTGTTGTTTCCAGGTCTGAGAAGAATGATGTTGGTAATTTAATGTGTATAGCATTGAATCTGTAGATTGTCTTTGGTAGAATGGGCATCTTAAAAATATTGATTCTTCCAATCCATGAGCATGGAATATTTTTCCATTTGTTTGTGTCATCCTTGACTTCTTTGAGCAGTGCTTTGTAGTTTTCATTGTAAAGATCTAGACACTTCTCCAAAGAAGGCATATGAGCCGATAGACACATGAAAAAATGCTTGACCTCACTAATCATCAGAGAAATGCAAATCAAAACCACACTTAGATACTACCTAACTGTAGTAAGAATGGCCATCATTAAAACAAACAAACAAAAAAACATGCTAGTGAGGATGTGAAGAACGCTTCTATACTGTTGGTGAGAATGCAAATTAGTTTGACCTCTATGGAAAACAATGTGGTGATTCCTAAAAGAACTAGAAATTTACCTTCCATATGATCCATCAATCTCCCTTCTAGGAATATATCCGGAGGAACTTAAATCACTCAACAACTAGCCAGGTGGGCGTGGTAGTGCATGCCTGTAGTTCTGGCTACTTGGAAGGCTGAGGTGGAAGGATCGCTGGAGCCCAGGAGGTCGATGCTGGGATAGCTGTGAGCATGCCACTGCACTCTAGCCTGGGCAATGGAGTGAGACTCCAACTAAAAAAAAAAAAAAAAATCACTCTATAATAAAGATACCTGCACACACATGTTTATTGCAGCATTATTTACAATCGCAAAAAAATGGAACCAACTGTGCTGCCCATTGAAACTGGACTGGTTAAAAAAAATGTGGTACATATACACAATGCAATATTATGCAGCCATAAAGATGAACAAAATTGTGGGCTTCACAACAACTTGAATGGATTTAGAGTCTATAATACTCAGTGATTTATCAAGGAAGCGAAGTCCCACGTGTTCTCACTCATTAGCAGACCCTGAACATCTACCATAATACTATAAGAAAGGGATTGGCAGTAGCCAGAAACTGCCAGTTGGAGGTTGGGGTGGGGGAGGCACATAACATGAGTAAGGATATCTGATCTCACGCCAGGCAAAGTGGGTACCAAAGAGAGGCCTAAACTTTACCTGTAGACCTAATCCTGAATTGTACCCCACATCTTTAAAATAAAATAAAAAATAAAGCTTGTATTTTCAAAGTTCATTGGAGAGTGAGCAGTGAGGACTCCATTAAATTTTTTTGAGCAAGTCATTTGACTGTGATTCTGTGGTAGAGGCAACAGTTGAGTGAATTAGGAACAGTAGATTTGAGAGATATTATGAAGTACAAATTATCGGGATGTGGTGGTGAGTGAATATAGTTGGCCAATGAATGGAAGAAATCAAAGCCAATTCTGAAGATTTTGATATGGGTTACATTGAAATTCTTTGTGTTTGATTTTTAAAAAAGAACTCTGGAAAGGTACTTGATTTTCATGGAAATGTGTTCAGTTCAATTTGAGACTAATCAAATTGAGTGTGTGATTATATTAAAACATCCTATTTTTTTAAAAAGCAGTCAATTGATATTATAAAATTGGAGCATGGGAGATAGTCAGGGCTGCACCCATAGTGGTTCCAGATCGGAGACTGAATCCAGAGGGTTGGGGGCTATTCTTCAGACAAGGCTCATTGTGTTAGGGGCAAAGGAAGATGTTGGATCTTCTATCATAGCCCTTGTTCAGGCCCCCGTCATCTCTTTCCTGGGCTTCTTTGCTGCATTTTCTGTCAAAACCATCCTCAAAGTGATAGTCATAGGGATCAGTTCAAAATACATCTTTTTTTTTTTTTTTTTGAGTTGGAGTC